TGCGGAGATTTTCTGTAGCTTCCGGAGGCGTCCGAAGGTCGTCGGAGGTTCTCTTGATCTCTAGGAGGATGTATGTGGAGGGCCGTGGGGGGAGAAAAGAGAGGAAGGAGGAGGCAAGAGCGAGGAGGCAGAGAGGAGAGACACGGAATGGGGAGGGAGGTGGGATGGGGGAGGGGAGGAACGAAACAAAAAGAACGAGGGGGTAAGGAGAAGGAGGAGGAGGAGGAGGAGACACAGGATGATGATTCCTTCTCTGTGACTCAATATCATCCTCCTCCCCCTCCCCCCCTCTTCGGCCGTGATCCCTCATTCCTCCCTTCTCTCTCCTCCCCCCTCCCCATCCTCACTCCTTTTATCTCCAATCGTTACCAGTTATCCCCGTTCCTTGTCCCTCCTGTTCCTCCTCCGGCTCGTCCTCCTCTTTTTCTTCCTCGTCCTCCTCCTCCTCCTCGTCCTCCTCCTTTTCCTTCTCTGCATGGATCCCCCTTCTCTGCCTTTTACTATTTGTCCTCCTCCTCCACCGCCTTCTCCCCAGCACCGCCACCACAACCGTCACCATCATCTTGTACAGTGCGTGCAGAATTAAATGTTTCGCGCACGCAGTTAACCACATGGCCCTCTGGTGCACATTAGGACGCACACACAAACACACACACACACACACACGCAAACAAGTAAACAAGCAAGCAAACAAACTACACCACTCCAGAATCGCGTTTTCCCCATCGCCCTCATCATCTGTATCCTTACCCCCCTCCGTTCACACTCCCCCTCCTCCCCAAACACCCGACGTGTTACATCGTCAGCTCTGCGAGAGCTACACCAGCTAACGTAATGAGCGCGTGAAGGGAATCGCTACGCAGGGCGATGGAAACATAAGAGATCCCATATAAATCCTGCGTGTGTGGTGGGCAACGCTCGACCGCACTCCCACACTTGTACTAGTTACGGCACTCGCCATCGCTCGGACGTCCATTTTTTGTTTTTTTGTTGGTTTCGTGCGTGGTTTGTTCGCCAAATGGTCAAGGATGTTCCTCGATGGCCCTCGCCGAAGGAAAAACGCACACGTCCGAGCGATGCCAAGGGCACTGGCGCTCGTGACTCGCATAACCATGTGTAAGCACAACCCAGCAACGCTTGCGGGCTCCTGCGTGCGACCCCGAGCGCCTTAACCGACTCACGCGGGACCGCGAACGCGGGATGGGAACACGGCCGTGACGAGACACCGTTCCGAAGCCGATCCCTGTCACAATGATCTGGTTTTGCGTTGCGGCCACCGGCCGCCGCTCTCTGCTGTCTCGCACGCGCTGACCCCAGCGCCCTGGGGAACCTTCGCACGTGGGCTCTCCCTGGCCAGCCTCCGAGGCCGAAATGGCTTGTGCCAAGATGGGCCGCAGAGGCTCCACAAATCCAAACGCAGTGCTCGGGGACCAACGGTGGGCCCTTGGAGCCAACATCGCACTGGCTCATACACCTGGTCTACGAGATTATCAAGAACATGCTTCCGGACCTGATGAAGGCATCGCATCTACCTGTCTCAGCGAGCTCAAGGACACACCGAGCGTCGCAACTCGAGTGCGCCATGCACTAGCGTACACGTTGATGCTTTGCTCAACTCTCCGCACTGCCACAACGACTCAGCCTCACGATGCACTCGAGAGAATCCTCTGAATCATGCTCGAAGCCACCTCAGCCTCGCCTCCATCGCGCTCGTCGTTGTTGCTCCTCTGGGGTGCTTCGGTGCCCGCGCGCCTCCTGGGCCACTCCAACCTCTGCCTCGAGTGCACCTTGGTCCTCAGATCGGCTGGGGCGATCAACGTCGGGAACACGTCGATCTCCAGCAGTTTCATATTATTCGCGATTTGCTGCAGCCAGAACGCATGCGCGGCGATGTGCCGCGCGCGCCCTGCCCCCTTCTGCGGCGGCGATTCCACGCGCCGCACTGCTGCCCACGCAGAGATTACCCCTCTCTCGGAAACCCAATCACTCGAACAGATGCTTCGACTGGACCACGTCGCTCGCCGCGGCAGTCGCCGCGTAGAACTCTGCCTCCGCGCTCGAGCGAGCGATGACTCTCTGCCTTCTCATGTTTTTGAGCAGAATGCAACCGTTCGCCTCCGCGAAGACGCTCGACCTCGTCTTCTCATCCTCGCTCTGAGCCTCATCTGAATCGCTGAGGCCGTCGAGGTTGATGCCCCAGCCCTGCTCGTTCTCCTTCTTGCTCCTGGCCGACCTCGTGATAGCTCCCTCCGCGCCAGCTGCATGCCGCGCGGGACTCCTCGGCGCCATCATGTCGACTGCTGTCGGCTTAGATCCCATGGCGGGCATCCCCGAATCCATACTGGATGTCGCTCCTGCCTATGGACTCGCGCGGCAGGCAGCCCGCGCAGTCGAACTCCCCGCGGTCCTCGCTGTTCTTCTCATTGGTCTTTATGCCCGGGGTGGATTGTGATCCGCAGTTCCCCATGCCCAGCGCCATCTTCACGCGTGCGACATACCTGGGATCGCCCCCAAACGCGATGTCATCTCTCGTGCAGGTCCGGAAAGGCCTCGGATGGATACTCTTCTGCGTGCCTGGTGGGGCCGCTCGTCTTGGCCACGGTGATCCGGCGCAACTATTGGCAGAACCCCCATATCACGGTTGGCTCTCCTGCCCCGTGGCCGTCGGCCACGTGGACTTCGAGGAAGAGCGCACTCTGCCCGCGAACGAAGCAGTGAGACGACCCACTGCGCCTCTCGAAGCCCAGGATCATCAGCTTCTCGGCCAGCCGCGTCGCGAACTCCCGCCCTGCCTTGCCGCGCTCATCGAGCAGTCAAAGTGGCCCCCGCATCGCGTCTCTCGAACTGCCTTCCTCGATCTCCTTCTTGATCCACTCCGCCGCGGGGCGCGCGCGGCGCTCTTCGTTCTCGGGCGCGTTGAAGAAGGCGCTCGGGACATCGAAGCAAAAGGTCGAGAGGAAGAGCTGCATGGCGGTAGAATTGCCCGTCGTCGCTGTCGAGGCCGGCGCAACGTCGAACCTCTTCGCGAACCAGGCGAACTCTCGCGCGGCGAACCTCGCCCACGCAATCATCTCCGCAGCCTTCCAGGTGAGGCGCCACTTCGTCGCGGTCACCTGCTTGCCCTCCGACACCTCCGTCGGCGCCGCATGGGGGACTCCGAAATCCGAGCCTCTTGATGTCTAGCTGCTTTGCCTCCTCGATCCTGTCCTCGCCCTAGGCGGGGGGCTGCTCGTCAATCTCCGTTTCCTCATCAGGGCGCATCTCCTCGATGGTTTCATCCACGCTGTCGGCGAAGTCGCCGAAGGCTGCCGGCCTCGCTGCCAGTTCCCTCCTCTCCCCATCCTCGTCCTCGAGGTCAGCCTCGTCGCGGCCTCTCCTAGGGTTGCAGCGCCTCTCATTGATGATCCTCGCGCTCTTCGCTGCGCTCTCCTCGTCACCTCCTGCGCCGCCGTCCCTCGCGATGCCGCTTCCTGCTGATGGCTCTGGAACCATCAAATTCCTTTCCTCCTCGGCCTCTCCAGCGGCCCCCTGCTGGCCCCCAGACGTTGCGCTCGGGGGCCTCGGGGCCCTTGGAGTCGGCGCGCCTGGCAATGGCGCCCCCGGCGTCAGTGCGCTGGGTGGCTGCGCTTCGCCCCTGGCGGTCCGCGTCGGCACTGGCGTCGGCGTCAGTGGAGATGGCCTCGGAGCCGATGCCTGACTTCTGGTTCCACGGGGTCTCATTGAGAAGCTCCTGCTTCGCGCGCTCCTTCGGCTCCATCCAGCCCCCGCGCCGCCCTCGTCGCGATGGCGCCGTGCTCTCCGCCCGTGGTGCGATCGTTCGAGAGCTCGGGGCGCCCGACCCATGCCGCCGCTGTCCCTCCAGGCTGCCCCGACTGGATCGCCGCGCCCTTCGCCTGCCTGCGCGCCTCGGATACCTCGCCATGCACTTCTCCGCGAGCGGTGGAATATCGCCCTGGCAATTATGGCCGCAGGTGGTGAAGTGTGGAGTCTGTCCGATGCCTCGCGCGCGAATGCGCCCGATGCACCGCCCGGCATTCCTGGCCATCCAGCTCCACGCGGGCGCGCCCATGTTCACATCCACCCCGATGCCGGCTAGCATATCCAAGACGAAGACGCGGGCCCGCTCCCCGATCCCCCCGATCATCTCCTCCGCGACGGCGTTGGACTCCTTCCTGCATCTCGGCGCTGCATCTCGGACGCGCTGCTGGGGAAGGGTGCACTTCGCATTGCTGCGAATGGCCGCCGCCACGGCCTCGCTGTGCGACCTTAAGATGAACCTCCCACGAACGGCAGACCCGCAGACTTCGCAACGTTCGAGACTGGGTAGTCCGACGCCGCCTTGGGCGGAGGAAGGATAGACCTCGGCATGCCCGCGTCGTGATCCACGCAGACAAGCGCAATGCCTTACCCCGTTGCCTCCATGCTCGGGCCCACCTCGCCGCTGAGCTCGGTCTTGATGATGCAGAAGTCACTCGCTATCGTTGGTTGTCGCGGGTCTCTCCTGCATGCGCTGCTGCGCTGATGGGGATTATCTCTGGCGCGCCCCATCTGTGCCGCTCGCGCTGGGGCGCCGCCGGCACGTGCGCCGCGTGGCGCGCCTGCCTCGCCCCCTCCGTCGGCGGCGCCGTCGGTCCTGGAAGAACTCGCGGCTCGCTCTCTGATCCTCGTGCGCCTCCTCTCCTCCCCCGCTAGCGCTCTCGCCCGCAGCCCTGCCCTGGCCCCGCGCGCGGGCCCGCCCGGCCCCCGTGGCCTAGATCGCAGGAGGTCGACGCGGGATCCCGGGCCGCGCTCGACGCCCACTGGGGCCGGAGGCGGATCCCCGACCTGACCTGGTACCCCAGCTGGCGCTGGATGTCTGTCTGGTGCCTGGTCTCCTCCTGGTGCGTGATCTCCGCCTGGCGCATGATCTCCGCCTGGTGCCTGGTCTCCTCCTGCTGCCTGATCCCCTCCCCGTGACTGATCATCTCGACGCGCCGCCATCCCGCTGTCGACCGTCGCAATCACCCCTGAAGCCCCCCCTTGCCGCTGATGATCTGGATGGGGATCTCCTGCGAGTTCCTTCGCGACCCCGACGTTGGCCACGCCCGCCCCGCCGTCGGGGGGTCTGACCCTGCCGGCCCGCGCGCGACCAACATCCACGATGAGGCCGCCCTTGCAGCTCCCCCGCGCTGATGAAAATCTCCGCGACGTTCCCGACGCGACAGCTCGGCGCGACCTCCGCGGTCTCCGCGTCACCGAGGATCATCTCCGCCAGTCTCTCTCCGCCCCTCCCTGATTGCGTCTGTCGCGCTCTCGAAGCCACCCCCTCGCGCGCGCGGCTCTGTCGCTGATGGCGCGAACATCTGCTCTGGGGGGAAATTGTCGTCTGCTCCTGAATCGAAGGATGCGGTCTCGAAGCCGCCCGAAATCCCCGCGATGAGAGCCCCGACCGACCGCGATGACGAGGCTGGAGGGGGCCCCGTGTCGGAGCGCCATCTGGGGGCGATCGCCCAGCGCTGTCTGGAGCGCGCCGACTCGCGGCCACTGCCCCTAAGGAGCGCCGTCATTCGGGTTCGCAGTCTGGGCTGCAGAGGGCGATGCCTCCGAGACTTGGGGCGCGCCTCTACGTTCGCGCTCGGCCCTCTTCCCTCGGCCGCGAGCCCCCTGCAATGCTGTCGACGATGTCGCCGCGCTCAGCAATGCAAGAGTTCTCGAGTGAAGTAGGGCGTCGGAGGAAGCGGATGGTCCGTGCCTTCTGCCGCCTTTCGCGTCGCCATGACCGCCGCCTGTGCCTCGTTTCGAATATTTGTCTTTGCCTCCTCTGGGGGCGCGCCTGTTGTCCCGGCGCTGCGCGGCCCCGATCTCCGCGGGCGCGGAGCCTCCGCCGGCATTCCTGGGCCCCGTCGTGACTTGGCCCGTCGCGCCGTGGCCGCTCGAGCCGCGCGCGCAGAACTTGATCGTCGACCTTAGTGCTGCATGGTCTCGCCCTCCCTTGGGCGCGCTGTCCTGGGTGATCTCCTGCGCGGGCGCGGGTGCCCACCTGGCCAGGGCCGCGACGTTGGTTGACTGGCTCACCGTCTCGCCCGCCACGCGCTCGCAGGCACCCAGCCTCGCACCCCGCTCGGCCAGCGCGGCCCCCCCAGGGGGGGCCTCGCCAGGCAAGCTCTCTCCGTGTCAGGCGCTAGCAGGCCTATCGACATGCCCGTCGTCCTGCTTCCCACCTTCGGCGCGCGCGTCCGGCGTTGCATCCGCCATGGGATAGAGCCATTGAGCTTCTCGCGCCGCCTCGACGCAGAAAGCGCCTTGCCGTCGACGCTCTGGGCGAGCGCGTGGTACACCGTCTTGGCCACCTCTGTCACCTCGCGCGACATCCTCGCCATGCTCACCTCCGCATCACTGTCGACGCCCACTGAGAAGTCGAGCAGGTCTTCGATGTCGACGTTCATGCCCACTAGCTTCGGCATGAGACCGAAGGAAGACTTCGCCTGAAGCTCCACGGCGTCCAGTTCGCATCGTCCTGCTACCTTAACGCCGTTGGCCGAGCGCGCGTCCAAAGGTCTCGGAGCGTGCGCTCCGCTACCGCGTTCCGATGTCGATACCTGTCACGATGATAAGGTCTTGCGCTGCGGCCACGCGCCGCCGCTCTCTGCTGTCTCGCACGCGCTGACTCCAGCGCCCTGGGAAACCTTCACGCGTGGGCGCTCTTTAGCCGGCCTCTGAGGCCGAAGTGGCTTGCGCCAAAATGGGCCGCAGAGGCTCCAGAAACCCAGACGCAACGCTTGGGGGCCAACAGTGGGCCCCTAGAATCAACGCAGCACAGACTCCTACACCTGGTATGCGATATTATCCTGAACAGACGCACGCACTCCGGACGACCATCCGCAAGCGGAGGAAGGGAGGGGAAAAACTGCGGCAACCGGCGGCGACCATCCACTGCGCGACCCTGGGCAGGAGCCCCAGCACCTGAGCGCGCAGTGGACGATCGTTTGCTGAAGTATGTCCCATCCCACCGGCGCGGCGCTGTGTTTTCCGACCCTGATTTGGTGGCGTCGTGCCGCAATATCTGAAACCAACTTGGCAAACCAATATGTTGTGAACTCCTTGCTGAGCCCGACCGTCACCATGTTTGGCATCGATGTGATGCTAAAACTGATGAGCTCGGCCTCATGCTCAGCTGGGAACGCATCTCTTCGTTAATCATATGCCAGCACTGCCCGGGAGCGGAAGATCGGTTTCGTCTTCGAACTGAGTGGTGCATGAATGTTTGAAGCTCTGAGCCTGCACCCTGCACCGGATGGCATCTTCCGTGGCAATTTTCGAGCGAATGCCAAGATAATATTTCTGGAGCGTTTCCTGAATCAGCTCCCTGGGGGATCCTCGGATCCATCTGTTCTTTTTGCTGCGGCAGCCTTGTCCAAGACCAGTAGGCGGGGCAAGCTGAGCATGGGGCCAACAACGCTGCGACAGTAATTGCAGGCCGATGGGTCAGGGCCACAGCGCGTGGAGCCTGCACGCGAGGGGCGAGTGGATAGAATGGCGGCCTCGAGCTTCAAGAAACGAGCGTTAATCTCCGCGTCGACCACAGCCGTGGGAGGCTCGGGGGTCCGAGAAGAGCCACCACCGTAGACGCCGACGTCGATCGCCACGCACGCGGCGGTAGCCTCGAAGGTGGCCATGCGGGTGGACTGCTCCTCGAGCTCAGCCCCGGGGTCTGCCATCTGCTTCTCGTGCTCCCCGAGTTGGTCGGGGAAGCGCTCGCCTATCTTCGTGATCATCATCCTCATCACCATCATCCTCATCCTCATCCTCATCCTCATCCTCATCACCATCACCATCACCATCACCATCACCATCACCATCATCCTCATCCTCATCCTCATCCTCATCCTCATCCTCATCCTCATCATCCTCATCCTCATCCTCATCCTCATCCTCATCCTCATCCTCATCCTCATCCTCATCCTCATCCTCATCCTCATCCTCCGCATCCTCATCCTCATCCTCCGCATCCTCATCCTCATCCTCCTCATCCTCAGGTTCGCCATGGCCTTCGAGAGGCTGGGGGTGTTGTCTTGCGTGGGCTTCAGGGCACCCTGCAGCAGCTCCTGCATCTTCTCAGCGTCACAAGGCCGTCCCGTAATGTTCTACACTCAACCCGTACAGGCGGCCCGTATTAGTAGGTCAACCCTGCCAGATCAAGGGTGTCTTTGTGTCCTGTGTCTCGCGACCCATGCTTCGTACATTCCTGTGGCGATGTGGCCCTCGAAAGGGTCTTGTGTTTTCTCGCGTGTCCTCTCCAATTAAGCCCGACTGTAAAACAAGGGCGCACGATAGGGAATGCGAGGGCCTCGGAAGGCCACACCTCGACACTTTGCCAGCGGGGCGCGGCGCGGCCAGCGACAGCGGCCAAGAACGAGGATGCTTGCCGCGCGGGCGGCCTGCAGGTGGTGCAACCGTCGTGCAGTCGCCAGGGAGGCTCGCTGCCAGGGGTCCGTGGGGGCCGAACGCATCCCGTGAGGCGAGCACACATTGGGCCAGACCTCCCGGGCTGCGACCCGGCTCCAGCCGCCGAGTCTCGCGGTCAGACCTGGAGCAGCGGCTGCACGGAGAGGCAGGCGGAGGAGGAGGCGAGCGAGCAGCTAGGAGGAGCGAGCCTGGAGGAGCGAGCCAGGAGGAGGAGGAGCGAAAAGTAGGGGCGAAGAGGAGGAGGAGGAGGACGAGGAGGAGGAGGAGGAGGAGGAGGAGGAGGAGGAGTGAGGAGTGAGGAGTGAAGAGGGAGGAGTGAGGAGGGAGGAGGAGGAGGAGGAGGAGGAGGAGGAGGAGGAGGAGGCGGAGCGAGGAGGGAGGAGGCGAAGGAGGGAGGAGCGGACGCCCGCCTCACGACGCCCGCCTGCGCCCAGGCGGCCGCCCAGACGCCGGCGGCCATGGAGTCCGCGAAGGCGTTGATGCGGGGGAAGAGGCCCGGGTCTGGGCAGAAGCCGACCTCCTCGGGGGGGGAGGGGGATATTCGGGTCGGGCGAAAGGGGGGGATAGCAAAGGGGGGGTTGAGAATCAGCTCGCGTAGCTGATTTTCCCGGCGCCTCCCGGCGCCGGAGGCGGCTATGTATCGAGGAATGGGCCCCTCGGTGAGGCCGAAACCAGCTGCATGCAGCAAATTTCGTAACCCCCCCTTTCCCAATCCCCCCCTTTCGCCCGGCCCGAGATATGGGAACAAAAAGTCACACACAAACATAAAAGCTCGGAGGTCCGCGCGGATTTCTTGGATCGGCGCTGGGCCCCCCTCCCCTGGCGCGCGGAGCGCGCCAGGGGCGGCGCCGGAGGCGCCGCCAGAGGGGCCCCAGCGCCGATCCGAGAAATCCGCGCGGACCTCCGAGTTTTTATGGTTATGTCACTTCTTGTTCCCCGAGGGGAGGAGGAGACAGAGGCGACGAGGGCTTCGACCGTTCGTGGTGACGCAGTCCGCAGTCTCGAGTCTCGAGGAAGAGAAAGTCAATGGACGGTGGGGGCCTCCTCCTCCTTTCCCTCCCAAACGGAAACAGCTCGTCTGGTGGTGCCTTAGGGCCTCCGCGGCCGCACCGGCGAGCGCCCAGCGGGCGTCGCGGGGCAGTGCGCGGAGTGGGATCGCTGTCGTAGCGCAGCGGCGGCGAAGGAGGAGGAGCAAACCCAAGACGAAAACAACCATGATGCAATATATCCTCCCGTCCCAAGTCCCCTCCTCACAATTCCCTCAAGCAGTCGTTGCGCGAAACGCTCTCTCTGAAAGACGGGCGCCACATGGGCCCAAAATTCACCCAGAAGCTCCGTTCTGAAGGAAAAAACCGTGCGATCCTTGGAACTAGAAGGAACGCGACAAGATTAGTTTCGCAATATTGAACAAGAGCCCAAAGAAAACCCCGCCTTGAAAAAAGAGCACCCCTCCATCCGTGCAGACGCTGCCCAATGGATTGCACCGCTGAACCAGAGACGGTAAGACGATCTGGCGAAAAATCTGGGTAGAGCCCCACTTTGAAAACGAACTGCCCTGCATACGAGCATCCTTGCATACACTAAAGGTACTTTTGTTGTTGAGCATGTCTCAAGCGACAATGAAGGGGCCCCAGGACACACAAATAAATACACGCAAATAAATAGATTCCCCATATTTTCCTACATTTGCTGGGTTTCTGTCTTCCCGCCCACTTCCCAGATTTTCCTATATTTTCTGGGGGATCGAGGATTCATTGTGTCTGTGTGGTGCTTTCCCTCCTGAGATAACCCCCTTTTGAACACTGCCGGCCCTTCATCCGTAGTGTCTTGGAAGCTGCTTGGGCACGAATATATGCACGGCGCACGCTCCGGCGAGCGCCACTCTTCGAGAGCGCCAAAGCCTCACCCGTGAGGGGCTGGAAACTTCAACACGAGTGTGCGCGGAGGGATAGCCTTTTCGAAAGCGCAGAGGGATAGCCTCAACGAAATGTGCGCAAAAGCCTCAACAAAGCCTCTTCGAAAGCGCAGAAGCCTTTGAAGGGCTGGAAACTTCAACACGAATGTGTGCGGCGCTGGAGCGAGAACCACACTCCGATAATGACCCACCCATCCGGGTATGTGCTGGCATTGTGCAAGCCTCGGGACACCGAGGTGTGAGGAGTTCTCAGAATCGAAACGCCTGGCCTGGCCTACCACGTCTGGTGGTGCGACGCGGGGGATGTCGAGTGAGGGGTGGGGCCACATGGGCGACGATCAAGAGCGGGTCTGAGGCGAGGTGACGCAGCGACCTTACAGGGCAGTTTTTAATACATAGGATGTTTAATACATGATTAGGTGATGAATGAATTCGTGCACGAACTCATCGTTGTTTTTAAAAGTAGATCCCTGCATGTTTCACACATGTTCCGCACGCGGAGCATGCATTTAAAACCGGCGCTGTACGCGGTGGCTCAGGCGGGCCGCCGGCGCGGGGAGCCACTCTTGAAGCGGGGGCGCTGACGCGCGACCTTACGCGGGCAGCTTACGCGCCAATGTCGGCGTACACCCTGCGAAATGCTTTAGAAATCATGGGTTAAGAAATTCATAGTCTCAGAACTTGCATAAAAACCCAACGTTTCTATCAAAATCTTGGGATTTACATTGAAACGTTAAGAATAATCGAGACTCTGGACGAAAACTTAGGTTTTCTTGAGCATCGCCTAGGGTGTACGCGCCAATGTCGGCGCAGACGACCCCGTTTGTTTGCGTCGCTCACACGGGCTTCAGGGAGGACTTCCGGGGGCTCCAGGGGAGCCGCTAAGGATAAGAGAGGCGGCGGAGCCAGAGCCTCCCTCGTCGGTCCTCGTCGGTCTCCTCCTCCTCGTCCTCGTCGGTCTCCTCCTCCTCCTCGTCCTCGTCCTCGTTCTTGTCTCGTCCTCGTCGGTCTCTTCCTCCTCCTCCTCCTCCTCCTCCTCCTCCTCCTCCTCCCATCGTCGACGATTGCCTCTCTCACTCCTGTACTCTCCCCATACGCCTCCTCATCATCATCATCCTCTTCCTCCTCCTCATCATCATCACCACCCCCACCAACATCAGCATCATCATCATCATCACCACCACCACCACCACCACCACCACCACCACCACCACCATCATCATCATCATCACCATCATCATCATCATCATCATCATCATCATCATCATCATCATCATCATCATCATCACCACCACCACCACCATCACCATCATCATCATCATCATCATCATCATCATCATCATCATCATCGTCATCGTCATCGTCATCGTCATCATCATCACCACCAGCATCACCATCACCAGTATCACAATTATCACAATTATCACCATCACCATCAACATCAACATCTTCCTCCTCCTCCTCATCATCAACACCATCCTCATCAACCATCATCATCATCATCATCACCACCCTCAGCCTCGGAACCCTTATCATCCAGGCCAACCACGGCGACAACAAAACGGAGACCGACTGAACCGACTGAACCGAAAGCGGCAGCAACACGACAGCTGACAGAGCCGCACCGACCGAACCGTTGACACTCTTGATCATCCTCATCCTCATCAGCATCATCATCATCATGATGATCATCATCATCATGATGATCATCATCATCATCAGCATCATCGTCATCAGCATCACCATCGTCATCATCATCATCCTCATCCTTATCCTCATCCCCATCCTCATCCCCATCGTCATCCTCATCCTCATCCTCACCATCATCATCATCATCATCAGCATCTCCATCACCATCATCATCCTCATGATCCTCATCCTCCTCCTCCTCCTCATCATCATCATCACCATCACCATCACCATCACCATCATCATCATCATCATCATCATCATCATCATCATCATCATCATCATCATCATCATCATCATCATCATACTCATCATCCTCGTTATCCTCACCATCTTCATCAGCCTCACCACCATTATCAACATCATAGCATCGTCGACCCTCTCCTCTTCCGCACCTCTGGAGTGGCACCGAGACAGCCTGAGAGCGGCCCAACACTGGCCCACAGTCCCAGAAGGGCCCAAGACGGCCCAAGACGGCCCGGCGGAGCTCGCGAGACGCACCCAAGACGGCCACGAAGGAGGAGAATGTTGCGGCCTTGTTGGCATCAGGGGAAAAGGGGCTCCGGGAGAAAATTGTCCTGGACACCAGGCCCCTTCCCCAAGACAAACTGTTCGTGCCGAGCCGTGTTTACTGGCCAGTCCCGGGCAGGGTGATGGGCCGATTTTCTACCACCATACCACATGTAGGACGGGGGGAAGGGAGGATTGGGAGGTGGTCCTTCTCCTCCTCCTCCTCCTCCTCCTCCTCAAAATCGGCCCATCAAGGGCCCCGGGAGCTCCAACACGACGGAAGATCTCAGGACGCTTTCCCTCAGGACCCCTGCAATACCAGCCCCACCGCTGAGCGCAGGGCCCGGGAGCAACGCCCCGAGCGATGGTCGGCTCTCCAGTGGCGAGCTGACCGCCGCAGGCAAGAGCGCCCCCCTCCGTATTCCGGCGGTGGTGGCGGCCGAGCACCCCTTAGACGGACCCCTTAGACGGGGCCCCATCTCCGAGCACAGCGCCGCCGCCAGCTCTCGCAGGTCGCCCTCCAGGTGCTCCACGTGGACCACCCGGAAGGCGCGCGCCGCGGCGCCGTCGTCCCCGCGCAGCGGCCCGTCCCGCAGCCACTCCGCCACCGAGCGCGTGTGCAGCGCGTCGTCCTGGTCGAACTCGCGCAGGTGGCCGCCGCCGCCCAGCAGCGGCCCGCGGCCGAAGGAGGGGTCGTCCAGGTAGTCGCTGGAGTCGTTGAAGACCTCGCTGACGTAGCGGACGAAGACCGGGAAGTCCTCCCAGCGCGAGTGCACCTTGTCGGGGGCGTCCCCAAGAGGGGGCGGCGCACATCATGGCTGGCGGCATGTGCGCGGCCCAGGGGGGGGCTGGGGACATATTGAGAATGACATCTGGGGAGATATCATGGCCCCCGCCATACTATCCACAGCCCCCTTGGACAGGCGGGTTCCACTACTCGCAAATCAACAACTCGCAAATTACCTGGATCGTCCACGGGGGATTTACGATATATTACATAGAGGAAGACCTGTATATTTCGGACGTTTGCGAGTAGGCACTTTGCGAGTAGTGGAACGCGCTCGGCGACCCCTAATCATCACCCCCCTCTTGGCCGCCCCCGACCTTGGTGCCGCTGCCGAGCCACTTGAGTCGGAACACCGACGCCAGCCGCGCGAAGGGGCTGCGCACAAACACCGCGCGCAGGCGGCCCACGCCAGAGCCGCAGCAGGTGAAGCAGAGGTGGCGGGGCAGGAACAGCCGGCGCCCGCGCTTCCCGACGTGGTGGTGGTGCGCGAAGGTCGGGGGTTGCCAGATGGTGCCCCTGGCACGACGTCGCCCCCCCAGGACTTCCACGGAGGCGCACCCGGCCTCCAGAGCGCCTCTCGCGAGGCCCGGGAGGACCCCATAGGGGCTCCAGGCTGGGGCGAGAGGCCCTCCCCTCCTCCTCCTCCTCCTCCTCCTCCTCCTCCTCCTCCTCCTCCTCCTCCTCATCCTCCTCCTCCTCCTCCCCTCCTCCTCCTCCTCCTCCTCCTCCTCCTCCTCCTCCTCCTCCTCCTCCCCCCTGGGGGCACCGTGGCCCAGGGGCGCGCCTCTGGCAACCCCCGAGCAGGTGCGCTCCGTGAGCGCCGCGGCCGTGGGCCCGTCGAGGCCCAGGGCGGCCCACTCCGGCTCCAGCCAGCGCCGCAGCAGCCCCCGCGGGTCGCCCCAGCGGTAGGCCGCCGCCAGGGTGCCCCAGAGCCCGCGGAGCGACGGCCGCTCCTCGCGCGAGGGCTCGAAGAGCCCCGGGGGCCGCCGTGGCCGCCCGTCCATCGCTGCCAGCCACAGCAGCGCCGACATCGACGCGCAGCGGTCCACGACGACAATCGGAAGCCAGGCGAAGGCCGGCAAACCTCAGGGAGCCCACAAAGGACGTACGCGCCCAACCGTGTGCATGAACACGGCCCCTCGATCTGCGAGACCGGCCGCGTGTGACGAACCTTCGCGCAATGCGTACTCTCGAAACCAACGTGGATTCATGTACGTGTACGTCCTTCTGTCGCTCCCGAAAACCCGCGGTTGCTAAAACGGAGTTCTGGGAAATTGTTTCTTTCTTCCAGGAAGCAGCCCGTTTACTACTTCGTACGATGAGTTTCGTTCCAAGATTTGTTTTCTCTTCCAGGCAACCCGGTTTAGCAGCCACGGATCTGCCAGCCCTCGCCAAGCTTCCGAGACAAGCGCCAGCGGGGCCCAGAGGGGGCAGTGCATGTGCGGCCTGCAGTTGGAGCCGCTCGCGAACCACCGCCTGGCGGCGCCCTTGGCGAGGGGCCCGGAGCGCTCGAGCTCGGACGGGTGCCCGGGCGGGCCGCGCCGGGCGGAGGCGTTCGACGGCCTGGCCGCGAGCTCGAGGGAGCAGGTGCTGCCCTCGCAGGGAGGGGCGATTTGTTCCCCACATGTCTCGTGGGGTCTGGTCATCTTCCCACACGCGTCTCACCCGCGTTTCTCCTCCTCATCCTCTGCCCCTCCTCCTCTTCCTCTCCTCACCCGCGCGCAGCACATGCACGGCACGTACATGAGACACGCGTCTACATACCGCCGCACGCATGCACACACTCGCAGACACGAACACACACACACACATACACTTTATAACGCCAGTGCACGCTTGGCGTGTTCACTGCATCATACACCCACGACGAATGCGCCACATACTGGGCACCCGCATGAGACACACGCCCAAATTCAGCCGCACACGCATCATACACATGACACGCACACCACACAAGCGTGGCAGGCGCGACACCAGAAAGGGTGCGCAGGGGGTGGTCTCTCAGCGCGGCCTCTATGCGTGCCAGGGTCGGAGGGCGTGGCAGGCGTGGCACTTTCTCGACACCTGAGCGGGGTGCGCAAGGGGTGGTCTCTCAGCGCGGTTTGTGTCCGTGCCAGGGCCTGAGAGCGTGGCAGGCGTTGCACTTTCTCGACGCCAGAGGGGGTGCGCAGGGGGTGGTCTGTCACCGCGGCGTCTATACGTCCCAGTGGTCCATGCACAGCAGGCGTGGCACCTTCTGGACACCATAGGGGATGCGCAGGGTGTGGTACCTCACCGCGGCGTGCGCCGTCCTCCCTCCCACCGCGTCGAGACTCAAGCGCCGTCCGCCTACCTACCTACAGCCTCGCTCCCTTCCGTGGTCGCCACGGTTCAGGCTATTGTTCGCACGGCGCGTCACTCTCGCAAGGCTTGACCAGCGCCACCAACGGTATCGGCGAAACAACGGCCACCAGCATCATTGTCACAAGTTTCACATCAACTATCATCACGCCAGACATGTTATCACGGCAACAACCTCAAGCAAACAGTGTATGCCTGAAGTGATCCTGTGATCTGCTGTGGGCCACGGAGCGACGCTGGCATGTAAACTGTCCGACGTCCGCGCGGGATGTCCTGGGCAGGTGACTGCAACAAGGACCCAAGGACGCGCACCGCACGTGTTTCCCGCGGAGCCTCGTCGAGGACAGTGGGCCATCGGAGCCCCTGGGTACACACGAGTTCGTGCACTAGGCGGCCTCCTAGGGATGAAGTCCGAGTAGATGGGATCAGAGGATCGCGCCGCGTCGCCAGTGAATCGCCGATGCATCGGCGATACATTGACGATTCATCGGCGCCACCGCCGTGGAGAACATCGGGCCCCACATCGAGCCGCATCGCCGATGCATCGGTGATTATCGGCGATGCGATGCGATACTCCGACCCCATCTGCTCGGACTCCATCTGCGAGGATGGGATGCATGCAATGAAGAGCAATGACATTACCACTAATCCTTTGGCTTGCCATCGCTCGGACGTCCATTCCCAGTGCATTTGTCGGCTTCGTGCGTGCCTTTTTAGCAAGATGATCCAGGATGCTCCTCGATGGTCATGCGCGAACACAAATCACACGTCCGACCGATGCCAAGTTGGGAGGGGGCCCAAGATAGTAGGGCCAACACACATTAGGGATAGGGTTCTTGTTTGCAGATGTCTCAGACGAAACCGCCCACGTGTTCAAGGATAACCCTAACAACCGAGGGCCTAAGTGGGGCCACGAACATACTGTGTTATCCGGGCTAAGAAATGCAGTATGCCCCGGAAACGGCAAGGCCGCTTTTCATCACCGTTTCCGGGAAACGTCTCTTGAACATGGAGACGGTACACTTATCCCGGCAAAGCAACCTAACAACGATGTGTATAAGCATATCTGCAAGCATTCTCCTTAAGATTCAGGTGAGAATCCAGTTGTAGAATTCTGCTGTTCTCGCAGTCGCAGTCGCATTCGCAATGACAGTCGCAGTGGCAACGGCCTTAGGATCCAATGGAATCCTAAGTATTCTTAGAGATTCCTAAGGCATCCTTAGGAATCCATTGGAATCCTTAGGAATCCTTAGGAATCCTGATTCCTAGGGATTCCTAGGGATTCCTAAGGATTCCGAGGAAATCCTAAGGATTCCGAAGGATTCGCCTGCCTCGGCCTCAGCCTCAGCCTGCCTCAGCCTCAGCCTGCCTCAGCCTCAGCCTGCCTCAGCCTCAGCCTCAGCCTGTCTCAGCCTCAGCCTGCCTCAGCTTCAGCCTCAGCCTCAGCCTCAGCCTGCCTCAGCCTCAGCCTGCAGCCTCAGCCTCAGCCTCAGCCTGCCTCAGCCTCAGCCTGCCTCAGCCTCAGCCTCAGCCTCAGCCTCAGCCTGCATCAGCCTCAGCCTCAGCCGCAGCCTCAGCCTCGGCTTGCCTCAGCCTCAGCCTCAGCCTCAGCCTCAGCCTCAGCCTGCCTCCTCAGCCTCAGCCTCAGCCTCAGCCTGCCTCAGCCTCAGCCTCAGCCTCAGCCTCAGCCTCAGCCTCAGCCTGCCTCAGCCTCAGCCTGCCTCAACCTCAGCCTCAGCCTGCCTCAGCCGCAGCTTGCGTCAGCCTCAGCCACTGCCTCAGCCTCAGCCTCAGCCTGCCTCAGCTTCAGCCTCAGCCTCAGCCTGCCTCGGCTTGTCTCAGCCTCAGTCTCAGCCTGCCTCGGCTCAGCCTCAGCCTCAGCCTGCCTCAGCCTCAGCCTCAGCCTCAGCCTGCCTCAGCAGCAGTCTCTCAGCCTCAGCCTGCCTCAGCCTCTGCCTCAGCCTGCCTCAGCCTCAGCCTCAGCCTCAGCCTCAGCCTCAGCCTCGCCTCAGCCTCAGCCTCAGCCTCGGCCTCAGCCTCAGCCTGCCTCAGCCTCAGCCTGCATCAGCCTCAGCCTCTCAGCCTGCCTCAGCATCAGCCTGCCTCAGCCTCAGCCTCAGCCTGCCTCAGCCTCAGCCTCAGCCTTCAGCCTCAGCCTCAGCTTTCAGCCTCGGCCTCAGCCTCAGCCTCAGCCTCAGCCTGCCTCAGCCTCAGCCTCAGCCTCAGCCTGCCTCAGCCTCAGCCTCAGCCTCAGCCTCAGCCTGCCTCAGCCTCAGCCTGCCTCAGCCTCAACTTCAGCCTGCCTTCAGCCTCGGCCTCAGCCTCAGCCTCAGCCTCAGCCTCAGCCTCAGCCTCAGCCTGCCTGCCTCAGCCTCAGCCTCAGCCTGCCTCGGCTGCCTCAGCCTCAGCCTCAGCCTGCCTCGGCCTCAGCCTGCCTCGGCCTCAGCCTGCCTCAGCTCGGGCATTCAAAATATGGCACAGGACTGGTGTTCTGGGAACACGAAGATCACGAAGTGGCCCACAGTTGGCTCCGGGCAATCGAAAGATGGTACAGGAATGATCTTCTGGGAACACGAAGAACACGAAGTGGACTACAGTTGGCTCCGGGCATTCAACATGTGTCCTGGGAATGGTGTTCTGGGAACACGAAGAACACGAAGTGGCCTACAGTTGGCTCTGGGCATTCAAAATGTGGCCTGGGAATGGTGTTCTGGGAACACGAAGAACACACAATGGCCTATACTTGGCTCCGGGCATTCAAAATGTGGCCTGGGAACGGTGCTCTGGGAAGACGAAGATCACGAAGTGGCCTACAGTTAGCTCTGGGTATTCAAAATGTGGCCTGGGACTGGTGTTCTGGGAACACGAAGAACACGAAGTAACCTATAGTTGGCTCCGGGCATTCAAAATGTGGCCTGGGAACGGTGCTCTGGGAAGACGAAGATCACGAAGTGGCCTACAGTTAGCTCTGGGCATTCAAAATGTGGCCTGGGAATGGTGTTCTGGGAACACGAAGAACACGAAGTGGCCTACAGTTGGCTCCGGGCATTCAAAATGTGGCCTGGGAATTGCGTTCTGGGAATGGATTCCTAAGGATTCCTAAGAATTCCTAAGGATTCCTGGGGCTGCACTTTTGTCCGGATCTGTCCGGATCCCGTGTCCGGATCCCGCCCAGACCCCCCTGGGGCGTCAAAATGCATTCTTTTGAGCCCACTAGAAACCTATCAGCAAAAGCTGTTAGGTAAAAACTGCAACCGGAAAGGGCAAAAACAAACGGCTCCAGAATTGGAGCCGGAACCGGAATCGGCGAACAAGAACGGCGACACCACCAGAACAAATCGGCGCC